TAAAAGACATTTTATATTCAAAGGTGCAGCAGTGAGACTGACAGCATGACTTTTCAACAGGAGCAGTGGTATCCAGAAGGTATACCTCATTTTATTGCACTTAGCAGATAATACATTTTTTATAAATTGAAGGTTTGTGGCAGCCCTGTGTTGTTAGTTGAAGATTAGCAATTTTTTAGTAATATTTTAAACTAAGGTATGTATATTATTTTTAAAGACACATTACTATTGCACACTTAATAGACTGCCGTATAATATAAGGATAGCTTACGTGCACTGGGGAACCAAAATTTTTGTGTGAGTTGCTTTATAGCAGTACTCCCTTCATTTCAGTGGTTTGATGCAGAAATGGTGTTATCTCCGAGGTATGCCTGTAGCTGAGGAGAACTTATAGCCCATAGCCTATACCTTAAAGGGCATAGGGTGTTCTTTAGGCTGAAGGAAAATGATTTCAGATGCAATGAAGAGAATTGGGAAGGGTGGTCTTGTGGGTAAATATAAATGAATATTGTCTGTATAAAATAATAAATAGTAATAATGGCTTATGAACTTGATACATGCTGTTTGGGATTAAAATGTATGATAGTAATGGCACATGACTTGGAAAGAGTAAATGGAGTTAGTGTCCCTTGCATTGTCTGGGAAGTGGTAAAAGTACTACTTGATACAAGTTTTCATGAGTCAGAGTGCATTTTACAATTATTAAGTTGTTCATTTAAAGAGTAGTAGAAAAATATATATTTGACAAGCTAATGGAGAAAATTGGGACAATAAACATGTAAACTAAATGAGGGCTAGAAAGGGGAGGTAAAGGAATATGAAACAAGAGAGACATTGGAAACAGTAAATTATTTTATTATTTACTCTACTGTCAGAACTTATTAAGTGAACCATATGAAATTGGCAGTATTTGACCTGCAATAATAAGTTTCATAATTGAAGTGTAAACAGGTCAAATTGGTTAAAATCAAAGATAGAATGGATTAAAAAGAAACCAGTTATATTCTGTGGAGAAGGCAATGGCACCCTACTCCAGTACTCTTGCCTGGAGAATCCCATGGACGGAGGAGCCTGGTGGGCTGCAGTCCATGGGGTCGCTACCAGTCGGACATGACTGAGTGACTTCACTCTCACTTTTCACTTTCACACATTGGAGAAGGAAATGGCAACCCACTCCAGTGTTCTTGCCTTGAGAATCCCAGGGACGGGGGAGCCTGGTGGGCTGCTGTCTATGGGGTTGCATGGCGTCGCACATGGTCGGACACGACTGAAGTGACTTAGCAGCAGCAGTTATATTCTGCACAACAAAATCATGCCTTAAGTGTAAGAATACTTTTTTTTTTTTTTTTTGGCTCACAGCTTGGCTTGCAGGATCTCAGTTCCCTGATTAGGGATTGAACCCAGGCCATACAGTTGAAAGCCCAGAATCCGAAAAAAAAAAAAAAGAAAAGAGAGCCCAGAATCCTAACCACTAACTCCCAATTTGTAGACTTTTTGATGATGGCTATTCTGACCAGTGTAAGGTGATCCCTCACTATAGTTTTGATTTGCATTTTTCTACTAATTAATGATGTTGAACATCTTTTCATGTGTTTGGCCATTTGTATGTCTCTTTTGAAGATGTGTCTATTTAGATCGTCCTCTTATTTTTTGATTAGGTTGTTTGTTTTTTTGACATTGAGCTGAATGAGCTGTTTGTATATTTTGGAGATTAATCCCTTGTCAGTTGCTTTGTTTGAGAACATTTTCTCCCATTCTATGGGTTGTCTTTTGTTTTGTTTATGGTTATGATTTGTTTTTGTGTCTTAAGTAATACTTCCCCTTTGAGATCATAAAGTTCAACAAATATTTTCCAAATTTTTTTCCTAAAATCTTCAAAGCTTTTTCTCTGCACAAAATGTTTAATTCACTGGAAATTTACTTCTTACGTAATGTGTAAGGGATTTTTTTTTTCCATATGGATAACCAGTTTTCCAGTAGTTTTTCTCTTTAATTGATTTGTGGGTTTGATTTTTTTTTTTGGCCACGCCTCATGCAGGATCTTAGCTCCCTGACTAGGGAGGGGACCTGTGCCCCCGACGTAGAAGTACAGAGTCCTAACCACTGGTCGCCAGCGGATTCCTCTTGAACTTATCTGTAATGCCGCTTCTGATACTGAATATCTATACGTGTGTGTCTGTTTGATCTCTCTTCTTATCCATTTGGTCATTTATCTGTCTTTGGGCGATATCACATTATTTTAATTATAAGATATGAAGGAGTCTTGATAGCCCATTGGGTAAATACCTCCTACTTCAAAATAGGCTTGACTGATTTTGGTTTCTTTTTATTCCATGTGAGTTTGGGATCAACTTGTTAAGTTCTGCGAAAAAGCTTTTTGGAGTTTTGATAAGAAGTGCCCTGCATTTATATACTAACTTGGGGGAGAATTGACATTTCCCTAAACATGATACAATTCCTCCTTAATTTCTGTTTTTATGTTCTTCAGTAAAGTTTAATAATTTTCTTAATAAAAGTCTTGCACACTGTTAGATGTATTCCTAGGAGCCTTAAAATTTTATTTAAGCCATTTAAAATGACAGCAATTAAAATCATGTTTTAAAATTATTTATGAAATGTTTATGAATGCTGTTTTGGTATATCAGTTTTGAACCAGGTTACTTTTGAATCCAGTAACCTGTTGGACTGTTTGCTTCTAATGGTTTGTCAGTTCTCCTTTATTTTAATCATGGACAGTTATATCAGCTGCAGATAAAATAAAATTTATTTTTTTCTGTTACTTATATTTTTACCACCTATGTATGCATAGCTCAACAGTTTAATGGGATATCTTTGTAACAGTAGTGTAGTCATATGTGTAATGGTGTTAAACATATTTTGTTTTCTGGTTTCTTTAGATCTGTTTTGAAGTGAGCATCCATGTGGTAGTGTGGTGGTGGTGGTGTAGTCACTCAGTTGTGTCTGACTCTTGCGACCCCGTGGGCTGTAGCCTGCCAGGCTCCTTCGTCCATGGGATTCTCCAGGCAAGAACACTGGAGTGGGTTGCCATTTCTTTCTCCAGGGGATCTTCCTGACCCAGGGATCAAACCCAGGTCTCCCGCATTGGAGGCAGATGCTTTACCCTCTGAGCTACCAGGGAAGCTGTTTCCAGGAATACTGGAGTGGGTTGCTGTTTCCTTCTCCAATGTGGTAGTGTATTATTGCTAATAAATATACTATAATTTGTCCACTCTACGTTGATGGACATTTGGGTTGTTTGTAGTTGTTAGTTGTTACATATTTTTGTATGTGTATCCTAGTATACCTTTCCAAGTGGAGATCTGCAGGTTTTTAGAGCATATAAATCTTTAGCCTGACAATATAGTGCTGACCTGTTTTTCAAGGTGGTTTTATTAGCTTAGATTCCCCCAGTAGTATTTGAAGGTCCTTGCTCCTTTCCAGTGATTGGCATTACCAGTGTGATGTGTGTAGTGGTAGTTGTGAGCATATGATTTTCATTTTAATGAAATTAAAATGATTAATAAGATTAAGGACCATTTCATATGTTTAGTGGTTATTTTGATATCTTCTTTTGTTTTGTTCTTGTTCAAGTCTTTTGTTCATTTTGTATTAGGTTGTATCTGCTTTACTGATTTGTAGATGCTCTTTATATATTCTGGATATATATGTATGTCTTAATATATATATATTATAAATATCTTTTTACTCTTTCATGGTATCTAGAAGTTCTTTTAGAGTATAGTAGACTTTAATATTTTCCTTTATTGCTAATGTATTTATGGTCCTGTTTCAGAATTTTTTCACCATCACGAGGTAATGAAAGATAGTTTTCCTATCTTCTAAAGCTGCCTTTCACATTTGGGTCTAGAACCCATCTAGGTTTTTTGTTTTGTTTTGTCTTTTTTGATGAGTGGATTCTTTTTATTTTATTTATCTTAATTTTTGGTCATGCTGTATAGCACATGGGATCTTAGTTCCCTGGCCAGGGATCAAACCTGTGTCCCCTGCATTGGGAGTGCAGAGTCTTAACCACTGGATCACAAGGAAGTCCTTGATTTGTTTTGTTTATTGTATAGTATAAGGGGAGGGTTTAGTTTGATTTTCTTTTTTTCCTGTGTGATTGTACCACTACTGTTTTTGGAAAAGATCATCACTCCATTGTGATAAGTCAAGGGTCTATATATGTGTGGGTCTATTTCTTTACTGAAGTAGGCTTTATTATTCCACTAATTTATGTTTTTTTCAGACACAAAAATCTATGGAAAGTGCTAAACAAGAATAGGAATGAATACAAATTATTAATCATTATAACAAATATAAAATATACTAAACTCACCAGTCAAAAAACAATGATTGTTACATTGGATTTAAAAAGTCTAATATGTTTTTTAAAAAGAGACCTACTTAAAGCTAAGAACTCAAAAAAGTTAAAAATAAAAGAAGGTAAAATGAATGACCAGGCACATTCTCAGAGTCTTGCATTTAAATGGGAAGAAATGGTGTCTTGAAAGAGTTGGTTTCAACTCTTTGCTGGGTCTTTGCTGGGTCCAAGACATCTGTGCTCCTGTCCCCTAGCGGTCGTCAAATCTCTAGGCTCCTGCATTTCCAAGGTTTTCCTCCCAGGGCAGCCATGTTCTTTATTTGTGCCCCTAGAAATTTTCTTTGTTCTGTTGTTGGATGAGCCATGCATTTCAAAGTAACTTTCTGTATTTCGTCTATTAGTGTTTTTTAGGCATGTGTGTGGGTATCTCCCCCACCCTAGTTGTTTAGTCTTCTGTGTGTTATCTGAACTGTTAAATACAGTTTTAAGAACCCACCCTTTCGGGGGGCTGCTAAAAGAGATTGCCTGTAGGGGGTTGTTATGGATCATTTCTTATATTCTTGTGCATTTTTCATATTTCTACAAAAGAACACATATTTTATAACTTTTTTTAAATTTAAAAAAGGAAGTTGCCCATAAGATCCTCCAAGTAATAGTCCTTCTTTTCCATTTGTTGCAGGTGGTACGGTTGTGTCAGAACCCAAAGCTGGCGCTAAAGAATAGCCCACCTTATATCTTAGACCTGCTACCAGATACCTACCAGCATCTCCGCACTATCTTGTCAAGATATGAGGGGAAGATGGAGACACTTGGAGAAAATGAGTATTTTAGGGTGTTCATGGAGAATTTGATGAAGAAAACTAAGCAGACCATAAGCCTCTTCAAGGAGGGGAAAGAAAGAATGTATGAGGAGAATTCTCAGCCTAGGTAATGGAGAATACTACACAAATATTTATTCAGGTCTGTGACTGCCTGAATGGGTAACACATAGAAATAGTTGAGTTGGTTTTAATTTTATGTCAACAGAAATAGAATGCAAAGTTAACATTTTGACTTAAAGCTGTGTTTTGTGTTAAAGGTTGCCTTGGAGGGTAGTGATCCATCCTTAGCTCTCATCATTCATTTACCTCTGAAAAGTGTGAGTGACTTGCAGTCAGGAAGATGAGCTGGAGGCAGGCGGTTTTTTAGAGATCCGGAAGTTTGTGGATAGGTGAGAGTTTGAAAGAAAGAAGTTGGAGTTGACAGTAAATAGTAAGGGGTCAGATTTGGACCATGAACTGTAGCCCACCAGGCTCCTCTGTCCTTGGGATTCTCCAGGCAAGAATACTGGAGTGGGTTGCCATGCCCATCTCCAAGGGATCTTCCCCCACCTAGGGATCGAACCCACGTCTCACGTGTCCTACATTGGCAGGCGTGCTCTTTACCACTAGCTCCATCTGGGAAGCCTCATTTGCCTGAGCTGATAGCATATTAGGTAAGGGTATAAGTTGGGGATAATAGAAAAAATTAGCTAGTAGTTTGGATAACTTTAAAAAAAAATAAGCCTAAGTGAAATGACATTTCCTTTATAGGTAAAGTAACTTTTTAAATAGAATTGGCAAAATGCAGTTAATTCAATAAATATTTGAGGAACCGTTAAGTACTCTTTTGTAATTATTAAATGCTAAAAACTGTATTGGCTGTTCTCTATGTTATTGGCTTGGTTGTTGTAAATTACGCATTGGGAGAGGAATAGATTGATTGCGTGCATCGTATAGTTGTGTTTTGTCCAATCAGAATTAAATATTAACTCACCTGGAACAAGTAATAAGATATAAATTCTGTTAGAACTTTTTAGAGAGTAATTTACTGTTGAGGACTGACTTGAATTGGGAGGGGCAATAATTTCTGAGGGCATTCAGTCAGTGTGCCAAGCAGTAATTTACTAAATGGTATCCTTGTAGCCTTTGATTCTGTTGGCTTAGATTCTGGGAACTTTCATCTCTCACTTAAAATTTTACCCACATCATTATTCATGTTCACTTTACTGTGGCAAATGACTCAGGTTTGGTCTAGAGTATTAGAATTTTCTTCTTAAGATTTTTGGTGACTGAATTCTATTTGTAGGAACTTTTATAACATTGAATTTATATGAAAATGACCTTGTCTACTTAAATTATTTAAATTTTATGGCTTTTGTTAAAACCATGACTACTTAGACATTAGCTAACCAGTCATTTTGTATTGCTAAATTAAAATAAAAGTAATTTTGGACTTTATTAAGTACCATAACTTAAGAATAATTTATTTATCATCCACAGTGTACTAGGTTCTAATTCTAGGAGGTTAAAAGAAGAGTTAAGCATTTAATTCTGATGTCATGTGATAAATGCTTTAATAGAAATATGTACAAAATGCTGTATGAACAGTTTTGCCTAATGGCATCAGGGAAGGTGGCACAGAGAAAGTATTATTTGAGCTAGATTTTGAAGGATCTTTTGAAGGAATTGTCTAGGCAGGGAAGTGAAGCAAAGGCCTTTAACACAGTGGCGTGAAAATGCAGGCTCTGTTTAAAGAACGTGAGCGGTCTGGTTTGTCTAGAACTAGGGGGGATAGATAAGCTGGAAATATGGGTTAGAGTCAGATTGTAAAGAGCTGTTTTTTGACCTCTAGAATTTCTCCTATTGATAACATGATGCCATAGGAAAGGTTTTATTTATTTATTTTTTGAATTGTTGTTCAGTTGCTAAGTTGTGTGCAACTCTTTGTGACCTCATGGACTGCAGCTTTTTTAAAATAATGAAACAAAATTGTAGATTTTTCAGTCTTTTTGGAGCACACTGAACATTGTTTGACATTTTAATTTTTTAAATTTTTATGACTGAGTTCATCACTGAGAGGCAGGATAGTCTACTGGTTAAGAAGAGGATTAACTCTGAAGCCAACTGCCTTAGTGTGAATTTTAACTTTTCCACTTACTTAGTGTGATTCCTTGTTTTCCTCATCTGTAAAATGAGATAATAATATGACTTTTCTTGTGGGGTTGTTGGGAATTTGATAAGTAAATGTTTGGTACTTAGAACAGTGATTGGCATATGGAAAATAATGAGTGGGTTAGCTCTTATTATATTAATCATCTTAATTATTTTCATTACTATAAACATAGATTGTTATGTCAGGCTGTTTGTCATTAGTAAGCATAACCTAATGAAGTGCGTTGGACTTCCCAGATGTTGCTAGTGATAAAGAACCCACCTTCCAGTGAAGGAGACATAAGAAACAAGTGTTTGATCCCTAGATGGGGAAGATCCCCTGGAGAAGGGCATGGCAACCCACTCCAGTATTCTTGCCTGGAGAATCCCATGGACAGAGGAGCCTGGCGGGCTGTAGTCCATAGGGTTGCAAAGAGTCAGATACGACTGAAGTGACTTAGCATGCATACATACATGCAGTGAAATGCATAGACCAATTTGCTCTTACTACATGGCTTCACAAGATGCTTATAAGTTCTTTCGCTTTTTAAAAAAAATCTTACTGTCAGTATGTCTGTTGGTATCAATTTCATTTCCCCTAATATAAAGCTTTTAATCCACTATAGGTTTTGACCATACAACCAGGCTTGTACAAATTATATTTATTTATTTATTTTTTTCATTTATTTTTATTAGTTGGAGGCTAATTACTTTACATCATTGCAGTGGTTTTTGTCATACATGAAATGAATTAGCCATGGATTTACATGCATTCCCCATCCCGGTCCCCCCTCCCACCTCCCTCTCCACCCAAACCCTCTGGGTCTTCCCAGTGCACCAGGCCCGAGCACTTGTCTCATGCACCCAACCTGGGCTGGTGATCTGTTTCACCCTAGATAATATACGTGTTTCGATGCTGTTCTCTTGAAACATCCCACCCTCGCCTTCTCCCAGAGTCCACAAGTCTGTTCTATACATCGGAGTCTCTTTTTCTGTTTTGCATATAGGGTTATCATTACCATCTTTCTAAATTCAATATATATGTGTTAGTATACTGTAATGTGGACCACTCTTTGAAAGGCATTGTTTTAAGGACTACATATCATGTTTGTGGACATACCCAAAACATTTTGTTCTCTTAGTTGTTTTGTTATAAAGAAGTTTTTCTTTTCTTTCTTTTTTTTTCCCCCAAAAAAACTGTCTAGAGTTTGTAAACATTATTGGCTTATTCTACCAAAATAATTATAATAATTTAAGTTCTAGAAAAATAGCAACTGTATGTACAATAATTGTTGTGATTTAGTCACTCGGTCATGTCCGACTCTTTGTGACCCCATGAACTATAGCTAGCCAGGCTCCTCTCTCCATGGGATTTCCCAGGCAAGAATACTGGAGTGGGTTGCCATTTCCTTCTCCAGTACAAATTATATTTAAAGTGAGAATAAATAAATTTGAGGTAAGAATACAATTTTTTTTTAGTAGAGGAAAATATATGGCTTTACTCTATAATCTTTGTGATCTGTATTTTGGTTGTTAGGAAGCTTTTTTCCTATTCAGTTTTAAAAATTGAGATAGAATTCATATACCATAAAATTCACCCTTTTAAAGTATATAATTTAGTAGTTTTTATAAACTTAGTGTTCATAAAGTTGTGCAACCGTCACTACCCATTTAATTCCAGAACATTTTTGTCACCCCAAAAAGAAGCCTTATTTTCATTAGCAGTCACCCTGTCCCATTCCCTACTCCTGCTTCTACCCAGCCCTTCGTGATCAATAATATTTACTTTCTGTCACTGTGTATTGCCTGTAATAGACATTTCATTTACATATGGCCTTTTTTGTCTAGCATCTCTGACTTAGCATGTTTTCCCATTCATCCATTTTATAGCATAGATCGTTACTTCATTCCTTTTATGGCAAAATTATATTTATATTGTATTTGTGTGTGTGTGCGCATGAAGTCATGTCCAACTCTTTGCGACTCCATGGACCATAGTCCACTAGGCTCCACTGTCCATGGGATTTCCTAGGCAAGATTACTGGAGTGGGTTGCCATTTTCTTCCCTAAGGGTCTTCCTGACCTGGGGATCGAACCCGTGTTTCCTGTGTCTCTTGCATTGGTAGGCAGATTCTTTTCCACTGTGCTACCAGGGTATTTATATTGTATTGTAATTATATTTTATTGATATTGTATTGACATTTTGATTACGACATTTGGGTGGTTTCTGCCTATTACTAATAATGCTGCTATGAACATTTATGCACAATTTTTTGTGAGACTATATGTTTTCAGTTCTATTGGATATATATCTAGGAGTGGAATTGCTGAGTCATATGGTAATGCTGTATTTAACATTTTGAGGAACCACCAAATTGTTTTTCACTGCAGCTGCACCATTTTACATTCCCCAAGCAATATATAAGGGTTCCAACTTCTCACCAATACTTTTATTTTTTTTGTTATATCCATCTTACTGGGTATGAAGTAGATACTCATTGTTTTGATTTTCATTTCCCTAATAAATAATAAAATGAGCAATATTTTTATATGTTTATTCTCTGTTTGTGTATGTTCTCTGGAAAAATGTCTATTTGAATCCTCTGCTTGTTTTTTTGACCTGGGTTACTTGGCATCCGGTTCCATCACTTCATGGCATGTAGAAGGAGAAAAAGTGGAAGCAGTGACATATTTTATTTTCTTGGGCTTCAGAATCACTGCAGACAGTGATTGCAGCCATGAAATTAAAAGACACTTGCTCCTTGGAAGGAAAGCCATGACAAACCTAGACAGAATATTAAAAAGCAGAGATACCACTTTGCTGACTAAGGTCCATCTAGTCAAAGCTATAGTTTTTCCAATAGTCAGGTATGGATGTGAGAGTTGGATCAAGAAGGCTGAGTGCTGAAGAATTGATGCTTTTGAACTGTGGTGCTAGAGAAGACTCTCTAGAGTCCCTTGAACAGCAGGGAGATC